GCATTTTTCAAGAGTTAGACACAGAAGTCTTTTAAAGAACCCTCCCTCATCCGTAAAACCAATCTCATTACACATAGGAAACCCCATGACTTTTTAATCATGACTACTGCTCTTTCTGACTCTGTCTGTCATGCTGTGAAAGAGGTCAGACAGAAAGATACTGTGGCTTCTCCCTCAGACAACATATTTCTAAGGCCTGGTGAATGGTCACTTCAGAGCTGGACAGCAATAAGAGAACAGAATGTACTATAACACAGGACAGCAAGGACTTCGTACCTTAAACCTTTGTCTTAACAAAGATTACAATACTTTCTTACCAACCTAGAATATTTCATAGTAGTTCTGTCAGCAATTAATATTTAATTGACCCCATCTAGGGGTGCAGCAGGTCAGGCAAGACAAACATAACTATTCCCTCTAGCCTTCAAGCGGCTGAACTGGTTACGATTAATTCTTTGAGCAGCAGAACTGATGAAGATCAATTTAACATGAATGCCCAAGTGGATTTTCTGGTATCTTTTAAGGACCAAACTGCTTTAGAAACATTTTCTTCAACTGGGGCATTGTAGGGTGTTAGTTTTCTGCCTAGTCATTTAGTTCGGTGAAACATGTAGAAAATACTACCACAGAATTTCCTGGTGAATATGAACCAAATTTGACAGAAGGATAAAATTCTCTGTGATAACTTTATACCTCTGTCAAATTCAGTTAATAGGAATAGATTCAGACACTACTGAAGAAGAGGAAGGCGGCTGACAGATAGACATATACAGACAAAATTAAACTGTAAGAACTTGCTTCCTTTAGAAATTCCTGAAGAAATAAATAATGGAAGGCACTACACAGATGGAATAAAAATGAAGTGTTTTCTGCTGTAGCAGCACACATTAGAGAACTATCAAAAATGACAAGTGGAAGAAGGTTAAAAAGAAAGCGTAACTTTATAATACATAGTATGCAATTTCATAACAAAAATTGTATTCAACAAAAAGTGACAAAAGTCACAAGACAGCAACACAGAGAATCACAACTATAAGAAATCAATGCGTAGAAAATATCTGCAAAGTGTTTTCAGCTTTGTCTTTTAAACTTCTAGTCAAAAATAAACTTTGAGAAAGACAATAGATTTGCTTTCTCTGACTAAAGAATGATAAGGAAGAAATGGTGACAGTGGTAGGGGAAGAACGGCCTGCTGGCTACAAAGAACGACCCTGTGTGTAAAGGAGAATGGGGGTAGTGAATCAGTGACATAAGAAGGCTCAGGAAGAGCCTCAGATGAAGTGTAGAAAAAGAATGAGTCTTTACTGATATTTGCCAAAGTGCAGTCATAAAATTGATGATTATTGCACCAACACAGAGCAAAAAGGAAAATCACGTAAGCATAGCTTGTCTAAAGAAACTTCCATTACCTCAACTTCAAGGAAATATGCTCATGAACACACAACACTGACTTTTCAGCAGTTGGTTTGCCATGCTACTGGAGTCCTTCTGCTGTTCCTCCTGCTCTACAACTGGTCCTTTTCCCCTCCATGTTGCCTCTCCTCTGGCCATCACCCCTCTGCTGCTGAGTGAAGGAGTGGGGTCCCAAAGAAAGCCCATCCTGTCTGCCCAGCTCAACTCCCACCCTCAAATGCTGTTCAGGCAGCTCTGCTGTCCTGAACCAGAGAAAAGAAATGGCTTCCTAAGAGGAGGGGAAGCAAGTAATTAAAATTGGTTTTTGCAACCCTTGGTATGTTTTCTGAAAATATTTACAGCAAAGTAACACACTATAACACACTTAGGCCTAAGACAGTAAGAAATTGATGGTCATGTTCTAGTTACTCAAATTCACAGTCAGCAAAACAGCCGGCCACATCACAAGCTATCTTATACTAGCTAGTGCTTGATTCAACGTTTAAAACTCTGAACTGTTCTAACCCTGAAATTAGCATGCACCTACACTCCAGACTGAACATTCACCAGCCAAAATATGTCAGTGATAGCCCAAAAGCTGTCAGGATGGTGGACCACGAAGCATTACATTGTGTCTCTCCATAGCTGCAGAAACACTGGCCAAAAGTGCATTACCATGTAATACCTTGCTTCTCAACTAGTTGGTGTATTTGTAATTCCTACACAGCTGAACGAGGACAAACGATGCTATAAAACTGGCATCAGAGTTGATTGTTGATTGTATCTTCGCGAGTTCTGAACATTTTGTCTCCTTTTTTATGTTATTACATACAGTTTTTCAATCTAACAATCAGGACCTAAAATGAATAACTGCTTAAAGCTAGACATTAATGAAAAATGCTATTAATAGTGAGGCACCGAAACCAATTTTAAGTGCAAGTTCACTGCTTAAGATTGCTGTCAACAGATTAGATATTCTGGAACAATATGCAGATGGCTCTTACAGTTTGCAGATGGGGATTACATGGATGGCCCTTTTATCACAAGTTTTCTAAGTTTTTATTTGATCTTTCTGTCTCATGCCTTATCACCAAAAATCATTCCAAACTAAACACGAGTCATGGATATGTCTGAGCTTTGGGACAGTTTGCATAAAGATCCTGACTTTGTGCCCTTTATTTTAGCCATTAGTCAACACATATAAAAACCTATCCTTGAACTTAATTTAATGTCATGTTAATTTCTCCTTAGCTTAAAACAAAAATTATACACACTCCTAGAGTTGTGCTTTGCAGGGAGATAAAAAGTACAAAATGTCGCCCTGTGGCAGGATGAACCTAGTCTGGACTGAGCCCCACTGTATTAGTATGTTAGTATCAAACTGGTATCACTGAAGAGTTGCATAAAATGGGGTTAAAAGGTAGTATATCTTTGCAGAACAGGGCCTTTATTGCAACAGAGCAGTGAACTATAAAGTAAGGAGGTGTCATAGCTGCACTTAAAACATTTTAACGTTCTTAAACCCACTTTTCTTTATATCTCTCAAGGTCTGTTTTAATATCATGAGTAATACACTCAAGTTTTTCCAGAATATTTTATTAAAATAGGCATCTTGATAAAAAAAACCCTCTTCATCTTTCCCTGCAGGTTGTTCTTATTCTCTATAAAGCCCTTCTTGTTAATATTTAAAGGCACATATATACATAATACTCTTTTTCTACAGTACTCTCAATGTTGTTCACAAAGTTTCTAAAAAATGCCTTTGTGTAACAAATTGTTCCAGATATGATTGCATATCAGTATGATTTCTTTTAATAAAATTCCTTATAATACATGTGTTTTTTTTAATGTATGCTTCCAGGCATTATTCACAGTTTGATAAACGCACATTTAGCTAAGTCATTTAGTACAGCCACAAGAAAACAAACTGCACTTTACAAATGAAAAATGAGTATGTTCACAAATACTGAATTTTCTAGACTCTGAATGAATCAACCTACAAAGTCTATGAAACTCTGGAAATAGTTAAACATCTCATTATATTACATGAGATAGCTGCTACTAATTTCTATATACACATATGAATACATGCATTTGTATATGTGCATATAAATGTGTATACATGTATGTGTGCATATGTATGTATTTATGTATATATATGGCAGCTGGATTAAAATAATTTATATTTTGAGTGCTTTATTATATATGTCTTTATGTCTATTTCAGTGTTCCAATTTCAAATTACTTCAGTTCAGATTAACGATGCCAAAACTGCAATTATATTGCATAATGAACAATGTTTTTTAGCCTAATACACAGCTGCAGTTACAATAAAAAATGCTGTGTGCTCAGCCATGAGGAAATGGATACTGATTAAAGCTGTATACAGAGGTTACAATTATAGCATGCATTTACCACAGGTCCACAATAAAAAATCCAAAACATAATCATAACAATGTTTTTCATTTAGCAGCCTCACTGCTAAAGGTTTATATGGTACTGCAGCTTCCTTTTCATTGCAGTTTTATTGGGCTAAGGAAGATTAATTCTGAGGGTTTTTAAAATGACTTAATTTTTCTGACTTCTTCTGCAGTCCTGCTATTAATGAAATGGAGCACATGCAGAAACTGCTAAACTATTTTCAATAGCACTGTGTGAAGAGCCTGGCTACACCAGGTTAGATTTATACAGTCAGATTTTCTTACTGATATATTAAAAGGGCAGGTATCAACCCTAAGTGGAAGTGTCCTTTTCCAGCTTTTTGTCATCATATTTCTTCCTTCAGCATTACTTCTAACTATTTTATGCTCTCCCTCTCTTTCTAACTCAACAGTAATTTTCTCACAAAACAGAAGGGAAACGAGTATGAAAAGAAAACCCAAAAAGTCACAGTTAAGGGACACGAGTTAGTTTTCTGTATTTAGGAGGAAAATGTACAGTTTCCATCATTTCAGGCAGCCCTAATGGGAAGGGGCTGTCAATACACAGAAGGTCTGCAGCAGAAGGAAGAGCTACTAATGGGGTACGAGGTGCTGACTGAGATCCACCTTGCAAAGGTGACTGGGCAAAGACCATGAAGTGGCTAAAAAAGCTTGGAGGGGAAAATCCCTGAAACTGTGAGATAGTTGATGATAAGGCAATCCAAACCATGGGGCTGAGGTTTCTAGTTTATTTTCTGCAAAAGTTAATCCATTTGATTTGCTGCTACTACACACTTCCTGGGGATAGAGGCAAGTGGGAATCTTCACTGGCTGCCCTGTATTTTACCTCTTGCTTCACAGGGGTATTGTGAGAATAAATAAAGATGCTGAGCCGCAGAGATACAGTAGCTGGGAACATATAACTACATGGGTAGACAGACTTTCAGTATAATATTATTGTAAGTGACCTTAAATAAGACATGTATGTAACATGTATATATTCGCTCAAACTAAATCTGCATTTGCCCTCTTGACACAGCCTAAAGCCCATTGATTTCCACAGGGTTTGGTTTAGCCTTTACACTCTAATGAAAGCCAATTACAATTTTAAGAGCATGTGTCAGTTCAGCACATGCCCCAGACCCCCACATCATCAGAATCTATTGTAAGCAAATTTTTAAGACTTACGATGGTTCTTCAGACACCACTGCTCTGTCCTCCAGCTCTTGAGCCTGCTTATACCATGGCAACTTTGCTTCCACAGGAAGTTTCTCTATGGAACAAACACAAGCACATAAAAATAGGAAGCATGCAGTAACGCTGCTATGTGTGCCAGCCTCCTCTCTCTTGCCAAGCATGCCTATGATGCACATGGAGGCTGAACACAAAGAAGAAAAAGAGCAAAAGGTGAGCAGGAGAGAGAGAGAGAAACAATTTTGTCACCTGGAGTAAAACACTTACAAGGTTATATGGCCAGAGAGTTCATTGTCGCATCTAGAAGGGTTGTGGCACTCAAAAGCCGGAAAGGCAAGTTAAGTTACTTTTCAGACTATACAACTGGGCTGTATAAGTAGGTACTTTGGAAAGTATTTTTTTGAAGGAGTCTTGCAAGTGTAACAGGCCTCCATCTACACTGCAAAGGCAAAATATACAATACCCCTATGTTTACCCTTAAATTTTAGAACTTCAGAAGTCACGTTAAGCTTGTTTTTGATGTATTACAAAAGGGAAGAAAATCCTGATCTGTTGAGTGATACCACAGAAAAACAGAGAAACCATAATAAAATGGCCCAGCTATACTTTTCGACTTTATCAGTTCATCAGGTATGTGGATTCAAAAAAACGAGCTTGATACTTTTTCTGTCATTTCTGATGGAAAACAGTAGAGCTGCTTTTCTTCCCCTCCAGGATGTGCACACAGGGTAATGAGCTGCTCTGCGCTGGGGAGCACAGGGCCATGCCGTTTTGTGAGCCAAACTCCGCTTTCATGCAGTGTCAGAGGGGAGTATTTGAGTTGAGGGTGGTGGAACTGTTTTAGCTCTACAGGGGTATAAAGCAAGAGCAAATTTGGCACTATAATTTGAGAATGAGCTCTGCATTTCGACAAAGTGTTCTGGGCTAGGATCAGGGGAAAAAACACAAATAAAAGGGAGTGAGATTCAGATCGCTGAGGAGAACCAGGGCCAGACCTATTTGCCACTCACAAATCACCTAAGCTTTTCAGGTTTATATAATGTGCAGATTTGCACTCGCCATCAACAGCAGATTAATGTAATGCAGGATCGGGAATTTTTTGTGACTCTGTTGTGCACAACAGTGAACCTTTCACATGTGCACAAGGAATTTCCCATCTATCAGTTGCATCACAGAGGAACAACAACTTACAACTTGATTTCACAGCTACTGCAACTTTAGCCAAGCAAATTTCCTTGGAGCAATTTATTAACTAAGGAAAAAAGGGACAGTAGTAGAGTTACTATGCCTTTCTCTTACAAATATCTTGCCAAGCTCTTACTCTAACATATTTATTAACACCATTCAAGGTTGAATATTTGCCAGCACAGCTCTTAGTTTAATCTGCATTTTACTGCATTTGTTATCCAAAATATGCAGGAGATATTTCTATTTATACATTCTGCAGCTTGTTTTATGGGTTTTGGAAAGCCGCATCTTACTTCTGTGCTTTTTTTGCTTGGAAGTGAGCTCTTGTAAAAAGAAAAAGCTCTTGTGTACCATTGCCTGTTATGTGACTTTTAAAATAACTTTTCTTTTTCAGAGGTGTAGTTAATTATTATCTACACTGTAAAATTTGTTAGAGGGCTAGAATTATTGATGTTTCACAGTGTGCTTTGACAAAAAAAAATGAACAAAAAGCATTCTTAACATAAGCTAAGGAGGAATTTTTACCTTTGGAGGTTAAAGTAAAATCTCTCCTTTTAAAAAACAGTTCCAGTAAAAACACTGAAATCCTATATTGTACAGAAAGTTGTATTAGATGAATACATCTTCTCTATTAAAACTGAAAATCACTACTTAATCCAGGGATATCTTATTTTTCCCTATTATTGGTGTAAGATAAAGGGCCCCAGTGCTTGAATAAACTGAAATGAAATAAATTACATTAAGTATTTACATTCTATTTATGTTTAGCACAGTGTGTTAAAAGAAGAGGGAATTCCACATTTTTTGTCTTGCTGCTTCAGTCAGCTAGGAAGATTGTTTTTCTGGTTTACGTTAATCCAGCTCCAGAACGAAAAAGTGGGCTAAGATAAAAATATTCAGTAGAAGAGAGGTACTTTGCTACCCCTGCTGCTCTAAATTTCAAACTCTAGATTTGTGAAATAAAAAGGACAAACTTCTAGCAGATACATAGAATAATTCGGATTGGGAGAGACCTCTGAATATCATCTGTACCAACTCTCTTCTGAAAGCACAATTCAGCCTTCAGGTACATGGGTCTTCAATCATTACCACTGGCATTACGGAGGGAGAACTGTGAATGCATTGCAGAACCAAGATGAGGAGTAAAATTAAACCCAAGCAAAACAGTGTGCTTTGTGTAAGACTTTCCATTCCGTGGGAAAAAAAAAATTAAGAAAGAAATTACTGTCTACAACCAGAAATTAATCATTCATATACTGCAAAGGGCAGCATAAGAGTTTATCCAGGGTAAAGGTGCCAGACTGTTGCGAGGGTGGGCTTCCAGCAAACAGCAATTTACTTTGTTCCCAGACAAGTCCCATTGGAAGAGACTTCTTGAAAGATGCAGGCAACCAAAGCTTTACTAGCTGATCTTTCAGGTCCTCTAGGCAGAAGTCAGTTGTCGGTGGTTTGCCACACATATTTTTGCTGTCTTACTGAATTTTCCTTACATTGTATGCTGCAGGCAGGCAAGATCTTGCATTACCTGTGCTCCGAACACTATAAACACATAAAGCCCCATAAAAGCAGCTGAGTGGCTGAGCCCAAACCCACTAAATCTCCATATGAGGCTCAGAGTCATGCTAATGCAATCACAGTGCCTTTTTTTTCCCATCTTGGAAGATGGGTGGGGTGAGTTCGTATTGGTCAGCAAAACACAGTGCAAGCATGCCCATTGCTCCCCAGAGGCCCTGTGTCTAGGTTTCACCACTTTGGTGGCCGGCAGATACTGTGAATTCTCATGGTAGAGATAAACGGAAATCTTGAAACTTGGCAGGTGTGTCCACCAATCAAAATTCCAAATTTCACTGTTCCCTCTTTGATCTGCACAAGGTCACATGTCACTCTTATTTCAGAGGGCTTCATAATAAGTGCTCTTAATATATATCAGGATAGCAATTAATATTTTAGAAGGAATTGATTTCTTCTTATGATAGGGTTTAAGTATCCAGTTTAGGGAAATCATGTTCCCCTGCATTGCTGTAGCCCAGAAGTTTCCATAAGTTGGTCAGCATACAGACACAGAGGTTGCATTGATAGAGCTGTATACATGCACAAACACATGGATGCTCATATACCTGTGGAAATGGTCAAATACTTATCTGCTGCACTTGGCTACTGCCCATTAATCCAATCTAATCTCCAGGCCTTTTTCTGATGTTCCCACTCCATAAGAACCTCCAAACAGCTGCAGAAATATTTTCTTCTCCTCTCAATAAAATGTGAGAGATTTACCCCAGTACTACTCCCTGCCTGAGTCCCAAGGCAAGAAACATTTCTATATAAATTGTGAGCACCCCTTGCTCTAAGACGCTTCAAGTCTAACAATCTGCCAGATCGTGCAGCCTTGGTAGTAAGGGGAACTTCATGTTGGGATATACAATGCTTGCTTCAAGGTTACTTCAAGCTCCGAGCTATGAACAGGCACTTTAAAATTATGATTACATTTCTCTACCTTAAATGTTATTTATATATTTAATTACTTTTAAAATACAGGGCAAATTTACCCCAGACACAATCAGTGAGGTCAAACCTGCTTACGCTATGGTCAAATTTACATTTTATATTGCTTGGTCTACTGGACCACAAATTAACAGTGAAAACCTGAGAGCTTGTAAGGAAGTGGAAGGGGCCAGCATTCACTCCAAGTTGCTAGCAGGCAGACTGGATTATGAATGACAGGCCTTAAAGGTGAAAATTCACAGCTCAGTGCAGGTGGAAACAGTGCTAGCAGCAACAAACCAAAACTGCTCAGCGTGGAAGACCTCTGAAAAAATTATGAGAACTCTTCTGCCTCATTACCTTTGGGTTTGTAGCAAGGTGTGGGTACGATACATTCTTCTTTTATGTGTGGCTTTGTTTTAGGACTACAGCCTCCTATATGCATCCCCCTGTGATCAATGCAAAGGACCACACGGTATCTGAGTCCTTGTCCACAGGTCACAGTGCACTGGGGAAAGAAAAGAAAAAAGGTGAGTGTGATACAACACAGGAGTGATAAATAGAAGGGGAATATGCAATAGAAGTATGTGTACATCAGAGAGCAAAACATGACGCAGAAACACCCAACCCTGAACATAAATTATTCATAATATTTGGTAGTCATAAAATTGACAGAAATTTTTGCCTTTTTGCTCTGCACATTTACTTGGTTTGAACATTTTGACTCTGGATTTCTCTTGCAGTGTCACTCTCTCAGCACGGGCTACTTGGCTTGTCGCCATCAGTCCTATGTTGGATATGCTCAGTAACACCCTGTCAGTTTCATCTGGAGCCACTCTGCTTTTCTTGGACAAAGTACTGGGGCTTATGGGTTAACAGGGATGACACTCAGCTATTTTGGAATATGGCACCAAACAGAATGGGAAACTATTCGGGCTTTCTTCCCTCAGATGTTCTCTTAAGTATTTTTTCTTTTATTTTTGGTAAGGTACATAAATTTTTCCCCCTGTGCAGATTGTTTCAGAAGTCATTGCATGGGAGCGGATCAAAAGTGCCAACCAGTGCGAAAGGCTATGGATACTACCAGTATTATTTTGCTCTTGGATAGCAGCTTTCATCTGGAAATCACTAATCACTTCACAATCAGTCAAGAACACCTCATCTGCAGGTGAGCTAGCTTAGATTCTAAAACCCTTGTTGAGAAGTTGAGATGGTGAGAAACTATATTCAAGGTGAAGTCTTTAATGCACAGAATCAAAGTACTTCTCTACTTTTGTAGAAAGACATTTCAAAGACATTTGCTTTCATACAGAAGGAAAGGTGAGTCAGGAAGCAGACAATACAAGCATCAAAGAATAAAGTCATTTATGGCTTTACGTATTTCTGGAAATTTCTCAGCAATTAATGATACTAAATTTATGGCTGAAAAGTTCTGATAAAGATAGGCTATTACATGCTTACTGATTTTGCTTTGTGCTTTCCATTTTTTATTCCCAGTCTATTATTTTAGAAGGTCTCTAACATTACAGACTTGATTTATTTTTCCATCATTCTCCTTAATCATGTTTATCTTATTAATACATTATTCCTGAGTATTTACTTTGCAGTTAGACAAACAACATAATTTAAAACAGAGGTCCTGGTAATAAGGAAAGAAAGTAGTGAATGATCCTACTTCCACAAGCTTACTAGACTATAATTTAAGATATATTCCTAGTGCGGTAAATAGAAAACAAACAAAGCTAAGCAGATTACCGGAGACCACTCCTGAGCAAGCCACTTTGGGCAGTCAAATATATTACAAGGCTGGACAACAGGCATCTTTGGAGTATACATGCATTTCCATTCTTCCACAGGGCTGATATGCCCCTGAATATCTTCTTCCACACATGAGATGCTGCGGCTTTGAATGCCTCCTCCACAGGATGAGGAACAGGCAGTCCAGGGTGTACTTTCCCAGCTGGGAAAACAAAACAAAACAAAACAGAGGCATCAGGAAAAAGAACCCCTGCTGCCCCCACCCACACCCCTCAAATGCATAAACTGCTATCTGCAGGAGGGGTTTCTTTCTGATTAATGACAGTAAAAATGAATCATCTATATATTTTCATAAATGGACATAACAGCAAAGCACTCTCATGGCTGCTGTCACAGTTGCATAAAATCTCTCCTCCACTAACCCAGTGACTACTACCATAGAAACTCTAAATAATTTAAATTATTTTCTTTTGTTTAATTGATGGGATTGTCACATTTGTTATGTTCTGAGGAATCTTTGTCACAAATCATTGTGCTCTGAAGCTGACGCTCCTTTTGCAAGAACATACAGGGAAGCAGCAGTGTTTCTTTCCAGGGAAACAACAGAATCGAGGGGAAAAAAAAAGATGGGCAGAAATTACAAAAAAGATGTGACTATACTGTTAGGATATGTGGCCTGTGATGGATAAACCACATGGGCCTTGTTTCCTTACAGTTGAGGCAGCAAGAGGAACTGAGAAGCCATCTTTTCTCTACAAATGCCATATGAGAATGTAATGACAAACTCACAGAACACTGTGTCTGTTCTGAAAAGCTATGCATACTTATGAGAATAATCCTTTTTATACAGTGATGTATATACAATAATGTATGTATTGTTTTATATGTGTATAAGTCTTTCCATATAAAATAGTCTGGTATTTCCTGTCTTACATTCAAGCCATTGTCACAGAGAGGATCCGGGATGATCGTCGTGATCGAGTGTGGCTATTCCTGTATAATCCTGTGTGTGCCCGATGGTATGAAAGATGGTGTGCATGTTCTATTTACCTGGAAACATTTCACAATTTTTTTTTTTTTTTCAAAAGACAAATGAATGAGGACATTAGAAATAATGTTTGAAACAATTATTTTGGTCCTAAGTTTTCAATTTTTGACATAAAATAATTGTTTTTGTGGAAAGAAACACTACTCGACCTCTTTCTGCCAAGAAGGAAAGAAAGTGAAAGGTGAGGATTTTTTTTCTCCCACTTAAAACAAAGGAATTATTTTTATTAAGGAAATTACAGGATCACCAAGATTGCTAAGCAATACAAAAAATGCTTTCCCTCTGATTTTTTATAATATCAACTCCACCTTTTTCTTATCAACTCCAGTAACATGTAAGCACTACTACCCACACTTGGTTACTGGCTGAAAGTGCCATAAAGTCAATGTGAAATGGCTTACATTAACAGCTATTTATGAATGGTGAAGCCAGTGATTAATTCTACAACTTGTCATTAAGAAGTGGTGACATCATGTTTACACCATGCCATACCCATCATCGTGTGCTCAGCATAAGCCACATATGTCATGAACAGGTAATTTTAGGAACGTTTTTAGTTCGAATGTGTTACCTGTGGCTCTGCTGAACAAGTTTCCTGGCATATAGCTAAGGTTTGTCGCTATTGCAAATCTCAATGAAGAGGCCTCAAACTGAAACGCTTGACTGCTGCAGCAGCCTGAGCCAGCTTTTCCCAGGCATAAAAAGCCATGGCACCAGGGAATTCCCTGGGGTCTTTGGGATGAGTTTCCAGATGCCTTAGGCAACCTCAGCAATACCAAGCAGCTTGAATCTAGGCAAACAGTTTGGTTCTCAGGTTTTGTATGAGTGGTAGGAAGGTGAAGTTTCTCTGTTGTACAGCTCTCAAAGCATGTGTCAAAGTCAAGGTTCAAAGGGTGCAACATTGACCGAGAATTTGTGAAAGGAATTGGTGGTGGACTAAAAGTAAGTGTAATATCCGCTGAACCGTACCTTTCTCTCTTTGTGATAAAATTCAAGGCTGCGAGATTGTGGCAGGAAATCTTGCAGAAACCTTGCAAAGATGCCTTCCCAGATTTGCTCTCCACTTCTGGAGTGTTTGTTGCTTTCCTCTGTTCCTGGTATTAGGTGCCAGTCTCAGACGTAATGCAACCAAGGCCTCACTGGTTTGGTTGGGGGTTTTTTGGTTTGGGTTTTTTTATCCTAAACTGTGCAGGTCCAGGTGAAAGACATTTTTTATACCCCTGGCTTGGCCCTGTCTCATGCCAGCCTTGTGGTCTGTTCAGTTTCTGCTGACTCTCTGGTTTGGAGAAGAGATGTGGCTGTGTCTTCCCTCTAGGGGTGAGGGAGGAAGACCTGAGCCCTGTTCATGTGTTCATAGGACCACATGTGGGAGTGGAGGAGAGGATGAAGAGGGGAAGCTGCAGTGCAAGAGCAGAGGGAAAAAAGGGGGCGAGGTCCCAGCCCACAGTTGCAGCCTGAGCAATCAGTGGGGGTGTTAAAGCAGAATAGCATGGCTGGGAGAGTGGGTGTAAAGGGACTGTTACAGGGTGAGACCATAATCCAGAACAGATTGAGAAACAGTTTCAGCCTTTTGATCATTTTCAGGGAATGAATTTTTTTTTTTTTGCTTTCAGTGTTACTGAAAACCAAGTACCTCAGGGCATTTTGATCCTTTATTTTGGATTTTCTTCAGCAGTAAAAAATCCTCTGCCTAGCTGCCAGCTCAGGATGTTTTTTCCTTAGATATAGTCCTTCCTCTGTTAATTATTGCTGAATCATCCTCTGATATAAAATTGTTCTCTGTGTTTTGTCAATGCATATGGCTTTTGTGCACAACTGAAATAAAATCTGTTTTATTCAAAGCCAGATTTTTAAACCCTGCATTAATAGTCTAGTTTCTATATTCCTTATTGACAGAGGTGTAATTTTTAAGGTTAGGAGGTATGTGTGGGTTTTTTTTAAATAAAGAACAGAGAATTTTTTTTTTCCAGAAAAAAGGCATTAGATGCAGGGATGTACTTTACAAGTGTATCTCACGAAAATTTGGTGATAATGACTGTGTGTATGTAACCATAAGCACTTAGGAAGAGAAAAGCTTAATCCAAATGTCAAAGATCACTGATAAAGTGTCTCAGCATGAACGGCAGCCACAATATTTGGTAAGTAAGCTGCTCTGTCCCTTGTCTTCTCACTCACAGTGTGGGATGGGTCCATGATTTGGCTGGAGACTGTTGAAAGTGAATGCACTGCATTTGCACACTGCTGCTGCAAGCTTTCTGCATTAGACCTCACCGTGGTTTGAGGGAGGTCGTTTCCTCACCAGGATGAGACTTACAAGTTGCCTAGGGGATTTCTTTCTGTGATTTCATACTCCATGACACAATAAATTAATGAAGAAGGAAACACAGCACAATACCATTGCATTGTCCACATAGTATTTCAAAACCAGAAGGTTATTATCATTCAGCCACCAAAAATTTTTACCAGCACCAGTCTTATCACTGCTTTAAGAGTAATTACTCATGTGATTACTTCCATGAGAATCTCAAGTCTTACATTAAAGATATTTTAATTGTGAGATAATTAATAATACAATCAGGCCTTGATCCTATTCCTGCCCCTGATCTCTCATTTCTTAGAAAAGCCAATGGATTAACGTCCCTAGGGAAGGCATTAGCATGGGTTCAAAGGATCACAACACAGCACTAATACTGTCCAAACTCAAAATCTCACAATTTATAAGCATGCAGGAAGCAGCGCCGCCAGAAAGAGGGAGAAAGTTTGATTGTTCATTACAAAGCCACAGGTTGCAGTCTTGTTCAGAGATGACTAAAGTGAAAAAACAGAAAGGGTGTGAGAGAAAAGGGGAGGTGGGGGGTGAGAAAAGAAAGAAAGGAATGACACAATAAGTGTGCATTGCGTCTTCAGCTAGAATATCATTTCAGTTCTGCATCAACAGAATTTATAACAACAGGTTAGCCCTTGAACATCTTTAGGTTAATCTACAGGAGTTCAGAACAAGAGAATAGCAACATCTGTTAACTTAGTTTGAAAGCAAAGCAGAAATGCAGAGGAGAGAAAAAATGAACTAAATGTATTTGTCAATCCTAGCATCTGCTTGACTGTTTTACGTACCGAGGAAGGGGATGGTAGAGGTCATAGGGCATGATCTGCTTGTATCCATCACTGTTAGGAACAATAATGCCAACCCTCTGAGTAGAAGGTACACATAATAAAATAAACACTAAATGATTACATTATACAACTTTTTTTACACAGTATTACTAAAAAACCACCCAAACAAATATTTTACCTAAGTTGCTACCACATTCAAAACAAAACTTATGCATATAAAGCACTGGTTACTACTCTTATGAATGCATTACTTTTTAACTAAGAAGAATCAATTACCACAAGCAATCCAAATGAGTTGTCCAAATATTATTTAAATTTATGATGTTACTATGTGTCATTAAAAAAATAAATTTCTACACCTAATATTTTCTTGGAGCTTGGATCCAAAGTCACTGAAGACAACAGGGGAACTTCTATCTGTTTCAGAGAACTCTAGATCAAACTGTTTTTTTAAACTATTGTATGGTTGTTTCTGCCCTTCAGAAAAAATGTCTGCTTTCACAGGGGCTGGGATTAGTAATTTGGTGAACACAGTGTGAGAATTCAAATCTGCAACTTGTCTCTCCATCTTAAATGAGTTCAATTTCATTCACCTTCAGAACCTGCCTCTTTATTTGGGTTTTTCTGTAAGAAAGAAGGAGCTGGAGAGAAGAGTAACATGTCAGTTCAGGTTTTTGTGTTTGTTTCTGCTGTTGTAGTGACTGATTGGCTTGGTTTGCTGCAATGTTATTGGCATAATAGCTAAATAATATAACATAAAGGTTACAGGGTACAATAGTGTAGACAAAACCTAATAATTATCTGAACCATTATTTTGCTAGTTATGTGTGAAATGGATCTCACTTGACTTGTTAGCAACTACAGGGTATCACTGAATCGCTAGTTTGGAATTTCACCTTTTGTCTGCACTTTTTATAGATTCTGATTCAGAGTGACTCTACCCATGTTGTTTCCCAATTATCAGGCATATCTGTTAATGTTAAATAGATGATCCCAGAGCACCTCATCTATCAGTTTCATCAAAGCCACTGAGCAACAGAGGACTTGGATGGAGTAGGTGGGAAGAAACATCAAAGAGTGAATGACGATTGCATTAAAATAAAAAGTGTGTCCCTACCGAAGTAAAGGAGAGAGGAAACTGACTGAAAATAATGAAGGTGGGTTTTGAGAGCCTTATATAGAGAGAGGTGCTAGGTATGCTGCAATGAATTTCTGCAAGGGGGAAGGAGCAAAGGAGAGGGAATGGAGAAAGTATTCTCCATACTCAACACGGTTCACTGAAAAATGCTGCGAGCATTCAAAGGAGTCTTGTCACACTAAGGCTAAAGGGGTCTATTCTCCTTTCAGTCAACAGGGTTTTTGTGTGCATAACTTGTCCATGATAGCAGAACGGATCCCATTGTGTTTCCACAGTGAGGAGTCAGAGCCAGGTCAGCATGCTGGAATTTGCCATCTAAAGTGCGGGAAGGCGCTGGAGCCCTGGGAGTGTATAATGGGGACTAGACCACTCCGTCTAAGATTAGCAGCCTCTGAAATCACAGGAGCCCTCTGCATGAGTGTGCATATTTGCATCTTTGGAGAGCTGACCGTCTCCACAAAAATCTAAAAATCTAGGAGAGGCAGATACGGCACTGGTAAACTTTGGAAAAGACAAATGGGTCATTTAGAGCATGGCAAATGAACAAGTCTTTTCAGACTTAGCTTGATGAGTAAATGCCTGGAGAAGTTTGAGAAATCATGTACCAGTATTTTAAGAAGCTGGAAAGAGATTTTCTGAGTTTCTTTTTTTTCGCTCATGCTTTTGGGAATCTCTGCTTTCCTGACTCTTCTACCACTGCTGCTGAAGTTCCACTCTGAAGCCTTTTGCACCTCCCAGCTCATCAGCTTGCTGAGGAGTAGTTGGAAAAAAGATTAATATACCAAGCTCAGAAATGAAATAATTATACTATAAAAGCATCTACTGCTTGAGAAAGAAAGAGATTTCAAAACATTTCTCACTCATTTCAGTGAGAAATGTTTTCTTTCTAATAAACATGATCTGTATGCATAATCCAGGTCTACATGCATTAGAATGCATAATATCCAAGGCCATTCCAATGGAAATAACTGAACCACATGTAAACACTGTTATGAAGATTAAATAACATTTACAAAGTGCTGGATTAATTTTGTCATTGGAAAGTTTTGACCCTCAAAGAATTTTGCATACATAAATTGCATTTCTGTAAATGCTATAGAGCTCCACAGAATTACTGACGTTGTCCTTGTGCATATGTGAGGAGCTGCCAAAGGCTCTCATTCTGTTACTGCAAGATAATGATCCCCAACAACGTCAGACAAATGGTCACAGTGAGGAATAAGACCCCCAAAATAATACACAATGGCTTAATTTATGACTTTAAAAATCAGCTTGAAGATACAACAGAACAGCAGATGGTGTGTTAATTGTACCATTAATGACAACTGCATCTTTCCTAGCTTTGTATATGTTCCACAAAAAAGCAAGCCTAAGTGAACTATTTAAAAAACATCTTAGAGGTTACTTTGGTGAATCCCATATTTTTTTGACTGGGCAAAGTGTTTTAAATTCCATGAATCTATCAGTCCATTATAATCCTATAAAAAGATGAAAGAGATTTTGTTTATGGGCTTTGTTCCCTGTACATTACTCTGACAATGCAAAGGGGGTGGTGTGCTAAATGAACAGAGCAAATTCCTCCAGTACACTGAGATTTCTGTCTGATGTGGAAGTAGCTAATAGGACTCATTCACACAGCACCTAAAGCAAAACTACTTTGGCAGGGGTAGGAACACAAAGCATATTATTTTTAAAAGTACTTTTAGTCTCATATGTCTGAAAAGTCCCATGCCTTTCAGAACAACAGGTTGTGTCACATACTCTTCAGATTGGTTTTTTTCCTCCTAAGCACTGGCAGCTTCAGCACAGTTGCTCTTCCAAGGCACATGTCAAGCTGGTGCAGAAGTTGCATGTGCCAGAGGTGGATATGCCTTACCCAGGTCTACCATCTCTGCAAATGTTCGGCTTTCCCCTGGCACAGCTGCCCACAGCTGCGTTCCTTGAAAGTCATGTTTGGTGTCTTCTCCAATAGTTCCTTTTCCTCCTTAAGCTACCCCCTCAACATGAATGCCTCAACAGAAAGGCATGAATGCCTTTCTCCTGTAGCTCCCCCATGACTCCTCTCTGGCCAGTCCTTACTGCCTCCCTCTCCTGCATGCCTACAGCTCTCAGGTTGGCCATCTGCTGAGCTGAGCAGGGGCATAGGGGCTCAAGCTCGGAGAAGTGCCAGGAGACAGAAAGGGCATCTCCCTCCAAGATGCCACAGGGTGGTGTGACCCTGCATTGGGATGGTGTGCCAAGGCTGGGGGTGGGTAGGGGCACCTGCTACTCCTTCGCTGGTGCTCCCACACCCTGCTGTGCCAGTGCCCAGCTTCTGCAGGACACGCACTTGCATGCCTCTAGCTCACAGCCTTCACTTCTGCTGTGAGCTTTCTTTCCCTGGGAGTTTCCTACTCACAGTGCTGCAGCTGCAGAGCTGCCCACACTCCTGGGTGGCTGGACCTATTACACCTCTTTCCTCATGAGGATTCACACAGCAAAGTTTTAGGCCTTCTCTGAAATCCGTTGGACTTGAGAGTAAATGATCTGCATGATGGGGACTATGCCATCTAAGCGATAGTCTGAAGTACATCTAAGAGATTAATAATTGGCAAATAATAATAAGAAGTTAAAGCAGCTTAAGTTGGCCGTGGACAGCTAATTCAAAGGAAACACTTGAAGACCTGAAAATTTCATCACAAAAGACAAGAGTTTAGCTTCCCAGCCAGCATCTCCCTGAGAGCCTAATTATCACTGGATAGACAACAGGCTTGTGAAAAAGCTTCCAGTTTAACACTACAAATCCTGACACTAAGGTAGTGTGTGACACTGCACCCTCTCCTCACAGTGCTCTGTGAAGATGCCACAGTGTGACATTATCACCTTGTGCTACATGAACCCTTTCTGCCCTGAGAATCAGGTATTAAGGCCCTGAAACAGATGGTATCTGTTAATGTTTCCAGTGTGTTACTCTGTAAAACTATCACTATTTCCACTCAGAGCTGGGCTAGGTGACATCTACAGTAACATCGCAGGTACAGGCAACGTTGGGTTTTGAATGCCTACTTTTGCAGGTAGTAGGTATTGTAATTTGCTACCAGCATGAGATAGATTTCTGGTTTCTGGTCCATCACACTTAATCCTGAGATATATATAGCAATGTGTTAATCTTATCACATTACACTCTATCAGTGTGGAACCTGAAGAACTACCATGTATTTTGGATTTTTATATATATATACTAAGACCTTTCATATGGTCTTAGTACTTTATGGGTTGGTAAAAGCTAATGTCCCCTACCTAAACATTTTTAAATGAAATGTCAGTGGACACCTAAATAACCTGCTTAAAAACGCAAACAACTGCGAAAAAAACTATCTCATGACAACCTCCAGAAAAACCTCGCACTTTAATCAGCATGTCTGTTCAGCACAACAGCATCTCACCTTTTTAATAAATGACTTGTTCATGGTGCATAGATTTAAAATTCTAAGAAACATATGGTTTACTTATCATTGCCATAGACTGCTAAAACCTAATTTCTTTACAGGCTTGAAATGGATATTATTGATTGGAAGCAGCAAAAGTACATACTTTCTGTAGCATGATGGTAATGCTTCTAAAAAGCTCTCTTTTTATTTTTATTTATTTTAATATTTTATTGTGATTTAGATGTGCAATGTTCATTACAAAGATGGAAATTTGTTGTTATTTTCCACTACTAAATGTTAACAACTCAATACCTACTGAAAATTCCTGTAAGTGACTGTCTTACTACTTGCTGCAGTTTTGGTCTCTTCTAGAATCTAAACAGACTACATTTCCTGTAACTCCATCTTGAGCAGACAGATACCTGTATTTGACGCTCATAGCAGTACCAGATCTACCTTCCCATCCTAAAGTTTGTTATCTGATGTGTCCTGACAGCTCCTTT